TTGCCCTTTCTGCTCCCGGGGTCCCGGCGGAGCGGGCCGTGGGCTGGCACGGACCTCTCCCCTTGCTCTCCCGCAGCCTCACCTCCACAGCTACAAGGAAGCCTTCGAGGAGCTGGAGGGCGCCTCCCCCAGCAGCCCACCTCCCGGCGGCGGTGAGATTTCTCCCCCCACCCCAGACCTCCCCGTCTCGCCACAAACCCCTTACTCCGACCCCCGTAAGTGCCGCGGCTCCGGGAGGTGGAGGGGCTCGGCGGGCGGCTAAGCCAGAGAGATGCCGAGGGTCAGACGGCTCCAGGCACCCACCACCATGTGCATCACTCCTCCTCCTCCTCTCTTTCCTCCTTCCTCCCCTTCGCATCCCACCACCCACTGCCCAGTGCCTCCCGCTGCTCTGCAACATCACACACCCAGCACCTTCCTCTTGGCTTTTCCCTGTCCTCCGTGCACGGGGGGCAATCTGCAGCAGGGATCCTCCTGGACAGGATAGGGGCGACAGGGTGCAAGGCAGCATCGCTCTCCTCAGACTGCTCCAGCACTTTTGCATCTTCCCTAATTGCACAGCATAAACCCAGGGACGTTGCTGCAGCGGGACAGCGGGGATAGCAGCTGGGATAGGTGCTTGAGGCAGTTTCTCATGCACTGTCACTTCTCACTCACTATTTCCAGTGCAGGAGGGGCCGAAAGGCTGGGAGGTATTTGCAATAGCGGGGTTCTTTGCATGAGATACTTCTCTGCTCCTCTGGTTCCTTTCTGACTAACCCCGACCTGAGTCACAGTGGTTTGTGCATACTGGGTTTGTCTGACTGGCTCTAGCGGCAAAGCCCCACGTGGAGCAGCACGTCAGCACGGCGGGACTGGGGCTGGAGCAGAGCAACGGAGCAGCCGCTCACCTGGGAAACACAGCAAGGCAGCTCACAAAGATGGCAATTCCCCCCGAACTTCTGTGGGATGAGCTCCGAGGGATGCTCTGGCCCTAGGGATGCTGGGGCTGCCTGCAGCCCGCTCTGATGCCGTATTCTGACAGCACTGGTCACTGTGGACAACCGTGGAGCTTGCCCAGATGGGCTTGCGAGGCTGTTTCCAACTGTGTTGCTGCTGCTTCTCATCTGCGACATGCCAATGTCTGAGCCCTGTTTCATGGGATGCAGCGGATGGAGTGTGGGAGCATCCCCAGGGCATCTGGCAGCTGGAAAATGGCTCTGTTGTTCCAGGGGGACATGGAGAGCTTGGCCCCAGGATGGGAACTCCTTGGCATGGGGACAGTGGCTTCTTCTGGGGATGAGTCACTCAGGGAGGTGACGGGAAGGGCCTTGCTGGAGAAGCGCCCCTGAGGCCGTGTGCTTTGTCCAGCGCCAGCCGGGGAGGCCTGGGAAGTTTGTAGCTGAACCTTTCAGGCTTAGCCAAAGTGCCGGTGGGGTGGATTTGGGAGCGATTCCCCTCCATGAGGAGGTCGCAGTCCTTGGAGGAATTCCCAGCCAGGGGAAGACCCCACAGTTCATCAACCAGTGGAGGCGTGAGCTTGATGCCATGGCTTGTGGCTGGGCCAGATTTGGGGAAATTAAACACCCGCCAGGGCCAGGGAACAGGCTGCCATCTCGTCCTTGCTTGGTTTCCCAGTGACTCGGCTGCGCAGTAGCTTCGGCCCGAGGCCGCCGTGAGGACGTGGCCTCCGCGGGGTCTGGCTTTCCCCCCACCACCCGCCACCTCCCAGCCCCGGGCGCTGCGCCCCGGCTGTAAGCGGGGCCGTGCAAGCACCGTGCCCCAAAACTCCCTCCAGTCCGTCCTGCTGGAGGCGAAACGCCTCCCTGCAAAGCCTCCAGCCACCTTGGGGCTCAGGTCTCCTCCAATGGGTTAGAAAGCGGGATTGTTTGTGGCTTGGCTAAAAGGTGACATTAAGGAGACAGGAGTCAACCCTGTGGGGTGGGGTGGGACAGGATGCGCGGTCAGCTCGGAGAGAGCGACTGTTCCTCTGGCTCATCCACCGCTCCCACTGCACCAGGAAACCCCAGTACTGCCGGTGCATCCATACCCATACCCATACGTGCATATACAGCTCTGTCGTATATGTGTGTATGGATACACACCACAGATCACATCTGCATTTCCAGCTCTCAGAACATGCCATATACGACCATCCTCACCTGCCTCTTGAGCTGTTCTGAAGGATGTGGGATTTTTTAGCAGTTCTGCTGCCTGTTTTGGGGGGGTGTAATGAGCTGTTCTGGGCCAGCCCGGCCTCAGCACAGCCAGATGGGGATCAGAATGGGGGTTAACTGCCTGGAAGAGCTGATGGGGGGAGGTGGTTGCCCTCATAGGGGTGACAGTAGAGGCTTGCACCTGTGGTAGGGCCCTTTCCGTATAGGAACACTGCTGGAAGAAGTGCCTCATCAGGAACTGACCATCCCCTCCGGCCTCCCATTCCTGGAAGAGGCTGCTGCTTTCTGGGCACCTCCTGCCCTGGGAGCGTCCTCAAACACTGGTGCTGGTGCTGGTGCTGTGCCCCAGGGTGACACCTCTGATGGGGACTGGCTCCCTGCCCTGAGTCTTCTCCTTGAGTGCCTCTTTGCAGCCAGTGGGGTGAAAAGGTTGTAGGGGCGGCAACCCCCCAAGCAGTGACACCATGGGCCTTTCTGAAGCCTTATCTGCCCTCCCTCTGTTAACGCTGCTGTTTTTCCTTCCTGTGCCATCAGTGCGTTCTCCGCCTGGCCTGGCCAAGACGCCGCTGTCAGCGCTGGGGCTGAAACCCCACAACCCAGCTGAGATCCTGCTGCACCCGGTGGGAGGTGAGCGTGGGGCTGGGGCTGCGGGTGCCGGGCCTGGAGATGGTTCTCCGTGGGGGATGTCCAGTGCTGGGGCATCTGTAGTTCCCTTGGCTGGAGAGGGCACTTCTGCCTCCCGCCTTGGGCCAGGCAGCCCTAGAGGGTTTGCAGCTTCCCCTGAGTCATCTGGGACCATTTGCCGATGTGGGAGCTCAGTGCTGCCGTGGGGGGCTCATCCCAGCAGGGCCATATGGCAGAGGATGAGTGGTTGCGTTGATGAATTCCCCATTACTGGAAGTCTTTGCTGGCAGAGGCTGAAGAAGGCTGCGTCCTGTCTCCTCCGCAGAGCTCCCTTCATTCCCCCTCCTTCCAGTGCAGCTGGAGAGTTTGCCCTTTCAGAAGCGGAGCCTGTCAGCCAGGACAGTATCCAGAGCCCTCTCCATCCCCAAAACAGGTTCTTGAGTGCAAGGACTGCAGCTGCCCCATGCTGGGCTCACTCAGCTGTGCTGGGGATGCGTCCCAGAGCTGTGGGCTAAGGCAGACACCTTGCGGCTCGCCAGCCCCCAGCCCGTGCTGGGGCATCTCAGAGCTGAGACCCTGCTGCGCCCTGGGGGGAACAGCTTAGATGTTGCTCCCCTGGTGCTTGCTGATTTTTTTTTTCAGAGCCGCCCTTCGTAGTCTCTTTCCACCAGTCTTCTCCCGCTTCCCCACCCCAAAGCAGCTCTCTCAGGTCTGGAAACCACCCCCAGGATGTCAAGCTGGTTGCAGTCACCCCAAAGAGCTGTGTCTGTGGTGCAGGGGCTGGGTTGGGTGCAGGGTGAGGAAGGTGCAGGTCCCTTCCTTTGCTCTCCATGGGCCCTCATCAAAACAAGGAAAAGCCTCTAAACTCTGATTTCTCTCTCTCTCTGTCTCACACCTCCCTTCTTCCATTTCTCCCCACATTCCATCACTCCCCTGCTCCTCCATCTTTCAGAGCTAGAAGGGGAGGCGGGAGTTGACTCTGTTGAAGGTAAGAAAGGCTTTTCTTTCTCTGTATCTTTTTTCCCCACTCCTTCCAACTCTCTGGGCCCATCACTCAGAGAAGGCTAAACCTGTCTAAGATAGCAGGTTTCCCTTCACTGGAGGGGCCTCTAAGTCACTCTTTGGAAGTGATTTAGGAGCCTGAGTCTTGATGATCCCACTCCCTTTTGGGAAGGGAAACGTGTCTTGTGATGTGGTTGGATTCTCTGATGTCTGATGTGTGGGGTAAAGAGGGGCCGATGCGTTTCCAGCTCCTGGTGTTTGGAGTTCCTCTCTGTGGGGTCAATCCGCTACAAGGTGCTTGACAAGGAGCTGTGTGGTCGCTGCAGTCTCTCCTGGCTGCGCAACTCGCTCTGTAGCCACCTTGTCCCAGGACGCACGCAGAGGTCCATCGCATAGGGTGGCAATGGTCCAAGGAGGCTGAAAGCTCTTTGTCTGCGAATGTGGCGCGTGATGTCCTCGCTGGAGACACACTGCGAAAGCTGGCACGCCTCAGCCACCACCAAATCAGCGTGCCCGGGAGCTGCGAGCAACAGCCCCGTTTCCAGGATCCTTCCCTCCCCCTCTGGCCGTGCTCCTGCCATTTGGAGGAGAGCGAAAATAAACCAAAGAGCAGCACAAAAGGTCACAAGGCGCAAAGGCCGCAAACATGCCGCTGCCTCAGCTGGGCGCCTGCCCGTCCTATCGGGCAGCGGCGAAGCCCGGAGAGCCGCCGCGCATCCACCGCCGGCTGGGGGAGGCGGGGG